AGAAAATCAAAGTAAAGATACTTCCTTTTCAAAACCAAAACAACTATTCCTCTACATTTTTTCTTTAGAGGGGTCTTAATTGAAAACTGAGAAACTCCTGTTGAAGCAGATGTCATTTGACAATGCTGAATTCCCACAGTGCTAGAATCCAGAGATTTTTCCATTCAAAACTGATGCAATAGAGGCATGTGGCAAAGGGCATAACATTCCTGATGAGGGTGATCCCAAAATATTGTCCCTATAGGAAGATTGGGGATGCCATCACAGAGGACTTTAATAACTTCACCTAATAGCTCCATTGTCAACTGATGTGTGCTTAAACCACAATGTACAAAACCACAAGGACTTAAAAAGTAGCTTTCTGAGAAATATAAAGAATGCAACGTTTACATTGATAGTTAATCTGACAAAGATACCACTGTTGGTTAATATCCACAGATTTTATTAGGTTGTCAGCAAGAGCCAAGCCCAATACTTAGGTACCATTTTTGGCTGAAACCTTAGATACTACATAATAGAATAAAGTAATTGTTATAAAACATTCCAGAAGACTGTTCTTTGTGTAGAATATTAAATGGATAAAGCAAAGCAAATGATCACTACTCCAGTGAAACCTATGTCCTCATAAAAAGCTAAAAGCCCATTTTTTCCTTATTCATAAATAAAAGGTGCCAGAGGAAAGACTAATTTTATTCCAAAGCTAAAACCTTGGAGCAGAATACTAGGGGAAAGGGTGTCTCCATATTCAGGAATGGGATGAGCTTTTTTTTTTTGTTCAGCCCATCAGTTTGACTTTAGCCATTGAGATCTAGGAGATAGGTATCCCACTTTTTAATAACATAGATCTCTTTGGTTTCAATCAAAATACAAAAGCAGGATATGACTCTGTATCTTCATATTTCTATGGATGTGTGTGTTTAAGTATGAATAACTCAAATATGTTTTATGAGAAATAGGGCATGTAACCTAACCTTAGAGAGCTTGTAATCCCCTGAATGTGTATATTCTATTTGTGTGCACATATCATTCTCGTATATGAAGTTAGATTTATGAAGTGTAATCCAATTTATATATCCAGATGTGCAAATGAAGGCCGTTAGCAGTACTCAGGGAACTTAATGCACTGGTGGTTAAGACAGTGTTCTACAAATAACCTTGTTTCTCCTTTTAGCTTGAATTCTGGTTGGTCCTACAAATTCATGTGACCACGGCTCCTGGTGCTGGAATCCATTTTGAATTTTATACTTGTCCTCAGGATTGGGGGAGAAATGAACAAAGACTTTCTGCCTTGGGGAAATTCTGTATAAGAAATAGGAATCAAACAATGGTTGTCTTGAGCTAACTTCACAGACTGCTCATTATCTTGAGAAATTACATGAAAAGATCTGGAAACATTAGGAACTCTGAGGATGGGGGTTGAGAGAATCTGCTAGGCCCACCTTACCTCTGGCCTGAGGTGAAGTTTACCTGAAATAAGAAGTAGGGAGAAAAATTATGACTTGTAACAACTTATCTTAGTTATTAGGCTTAGCTTGTGTGTTTTGTTTTATTTTACTTACTAATTTACTTTGATCTATCCGTTATCACTTGCAACCCTTTAAATCCTATACTTAATGAAATCTCTTTTGTTTATTATTAAACTAAGTATAAATAAATGTTATGTGGGGGACAGGGAACAACAGTTTGCATATCTTGCTTTCATTGCTAAAGGGGGCAAGAAACTTCTGAGCTCACTCTGCATAAACTTTATGCATAGTGATACAAATTTATTTGGCTTTTAGTCCTGTTGGGGCTGTGCACCAGGGTTCTCGTTGACATCCCTGAGCTAGAAAGTTACAGTGTAGTACAGTGGCAGTAAAGTCCTAAGTTTCCATAAGGAAGAGATAAAAATGATGACATGATGCCGTTACACCAATTATTATCTTCTTCTGGCACAAGAGCCTCTTCTGCAAAAATGGCAGCTCATTAGTTATGCAAATGAGGCTCGGTGATATTCCATGCTTAGCCTCATTTGCATACTTCTGATGCAAGAAGCTGCAAGTGTAGATATAGCCTTAATGTCCTATCTCAGAGCCCTTTGCAAATGTTAACCAAGTCTATTACGGAAATAATATTTATTGGCACAGATCTTGAAATGGAAGTCATGTAGCTCATATTGTGACCATAAAGCTCTTGCATTGTATTTTCTCCTGAAAAATTCACTATACTGTTTCATAAGAAGTGTTTAGGTACTGGTACCTAGGTGAGTAGTAAACCTTTCATAAACTTCAAGGTTTAAAAATGTTCTCTTGTTCTGGTTGGATCTTAGGCATGTCTTTGCTCTTAGAGAATACTGATGCATCCCCTTGATGTTCAGTGATTTTTAGGTGGCGATGTATAGAATCAGGAAAAAAAAACAGTGTTAGAATTTGAAACTTTGTCAATGTAAAAGTGTATGTAAATATAACTGAAGGTATTGGTCTTTTCTGTCCAACAATTCCATAGGAGTTTTATTAGAAACATTCTGAATATAGAGTAAGCCACATTAATTATTGCCTATATGATACATCCTACTGCTGTTTCAAGTGTACAGCCTGCATCATTTTAAAACAGTTTAGATGTTAATTTATTAATCATATGTAGCTTTAAAATCAGTTTGCATATCGAAGTGCTCTGCACAGCATATTCCTGTTAAATAGGGCTTAGAACAATGGAAAGCATTTGAAGCAACTTAGCCAATTCTTATTCTTTGGTGGGCAATTATTAGTCACTGGCAAACTTTCAGTTATTTTCCAACAGTGAAAATTAGATTTAACGCAAATATCAGTTATATATTAGAATCCATTGTATTTTTTATTACAAGGGTTAAACCATTTAGGCACAGATATACAGAGCTTCTGCACCTTAATGCTACAAAACATGCCTAGCTAAACTTCTATAACATACAGATGCATTGTTTAATCTCTATAATTTGTTTAATTTTTGGAAATAAAAACAGGATGTCTAGTAATTTCATTTCAAAAGAGAAGAACGTGGAAGAGCAAATCCATGTGACAGTGTACCAAGTCTCTTAAAGGTGAACTGAAAACCTTTTAAGCTGGTCAAGACCTAAAGGACAGTGGTTCCCAACCTTTTTTATAGCGCAGACTGGCAAACTCATTCAAAAACTTTTGGCGGACCGATGTAGAAACATTTGCATATTCCTTATGGAAGTTAATTTTAAGCAGTCACATGTTATTTTATATTGCATCTGAATGCTTGCAACATGTGTTATTTTAACAGTTTTTTTTAATTATTATTCTCTACCCCTTCCCCCACAAGTATTTGCTTTCCACCTTAAAAAAATCATACATAACACATCGCTAACTACCCAAAGTGTTTTTTAAAGCAGCCCAACAAGACTTGGGGCTGCTGCTAGACTGCAGGCTTTCCCAACCTGTGGGTTGGGACCCAAATATGGATCGCCATTACATTTCAAAAGTGTCGCTAAATGTCTCCCCAGGTGGCTCAGCCCTCCCTCCTCCCCCTGTTTTTGAATTGCCTTGGGTCACCAAGTCTTCCTGAATTGTCAAAATGGGTCCCCATCTGGAAAAGGTTGGGAACCGCTGCACTAAGGAGAAGGAAGGGGAAGAGGGAGGGGCTAGGGAATGGAGGGCTGACCAGGTTGTTGGTTATTTTTAAGCAGCCCAACAAAACATGAGGCTGCCACTTGAGAAAGGGAAGGGGTGCTCTGCCCTCCTTCCCATCCTTACTCACCTCCCTTCCTCTTTATGTTCTCTTCACTACCAGCACGCTCCTGTCTGGACTTCGAGCAGGGAGCTTCTACTGCTGAGGGAGTGCCCTTCCCCAGCCAGGAAGCTCTTTGAGGGTAGGGCTCAACTAGCTGCTGCACAGCCACGCTGCCACACAGCTTACAGAGAACCCCACCAAATCAATCATCAAGCCATAGGGTGTGGTCTGGCAGTGTGCTGCGGCCTGGCAGCCTGCCGTTCACAGCCGGGCACCAGTCCGTGGACTGGTGTTTGAGAAGCACTGCTGTAGGAGATGCACAAAACTTGGAGCACTGGTTGATTACCTTGCTAGCATCCAAGGCAAAACAAAGATACTTATTTCTTGCTGTGCCTTATGTGTGAGGAGGGCATCAACTTTTTCTATCTACAGTGTGACAGTCTCGTTATGTTTTATCATTTGATGGCATAGTTAGTGCTGGTGCTAGATGGAAAGTGAAGTAAGTAAAGCAGTGGTGAATTGCAGAATAAGGCTAGATTAGATGAACATTTTTTTGTAATTTAAGTAAATTGATTGGTAATTAACATGTGTTTATTAACATAATTGTAAATGCTACATAGCCATGTGTTCCAGGAACACACACTCCATCTTAATGTGTTTGCAGGAAGTGGTACAGCAATGCCAAGGAGGAGAAATAAAGAATGAAAAAACTGTGCTACATTTCTGATTCATGCTGTGATATTAGATCTGTACTGTTTGTTTATAAATATCTTTTTGCAATTAATACATTTTCCCTAACCTCTTATTTTCTGTTGGTACTTACAAAGCTATAAAGATTGAACCTATGCTAAGTATACTATTATGTATTATAATGCAAATAGCTTCAAGAAATGAACTGCTCTTTAAAAGTTCTGATTCCTGCAGTAATATGTTTATTTTAATAGTCTAAACCAATGTTCCCTCTAATTTTTTCCATCCATGGGCAAAATAAATTTTGTTACATGCACCAATGCGTGTGCAGATGTGCTTACCAATAGAAAAACATGGTGCCAGCTGTGGGAGAGTCTGGGAGATCTACTAATTAGCTGGGTGGCATTTGAATCTCTCCTGGGCAGCAGCCCAAGTGCTCATCTTACAAGGAACACTGGTTTAAATCTTCCCCAAACTGCATAACATTCTGACATTTTGCATATTTTTACAGTGGTGGAGGAAGGACTGTGGGAGAATGGGCTTTCCTATGAGTGTAGGACATTGCTCTTCAAAGCAATCCACAACCTGCTGGAAAGGTAAGAGAAACTATCTCCCCTTCAAGTGTTTCATTCAGCTACATAAAATAATATTAACCATGTTAAGGCACCATTGAGAAAATACTGCAAAAATCCTTTTCTTAAAACATGTTTTTGGGCAAAACCCTTTGTTTGACAACTGAGCTAGGCACTAGAGAAATTTGCACAGAAATCCATTTTCAGTTTAGGACTAAGAATGACAACAGTGGATCTACTCTCTGAACACTACTTCAGTCTTTTTTTATTTGACACTACTGCCTGTGATACTTTGAGAGGGAGGAAAGGTGGGAATGGTTCATGAAATCATTTGTCTAGTCCCCTACTCTCCTATAAAGAAAGATGATGTATGAAGTAGATAAGCCGGTGTGACCTGTTTTAAAAACGAGTAGTCCTGCAGCGCCCTAGAGACAAACAAAACATGTAGATGGCATAATGAGTTTTCGTGGGCGCAACACACTGGGTTTTTGAAAATCTGCCCTTTTTTCACAGTGGAATCAGGTCAACTTTTATGCACCTGAGAACCTCCATACCTGGGAGTGGCAGGATTTGCCTATTACACTGGTCTACAATTTTTTAGAAGTCGTCTGCTTCAGAGATAAAATGTGCTATTTATTATGTATTTTGATGTGCTGAATTCAAATATGACAATTAAAACAACTGATTGGCTACTGTTTCCAAGATATTTAAGTTTTTACATTTTACGTCTATGTATATTGTGTAGATAGTAGAGTTTTAATCATAAATTGTAAACCTAGGTCTTTTCATGTGTTTATGGTTGCTTTACATGATAATATTTCACCTGTCCTGTTTATGTAACACTTTAAAAATCAGCAAAAGGGTTATATAAATAAAATTTTGGGGCCGACCCTGCCCCAGGCGCATGGCACATATGCTGTGACAGCCCCAGGCATGTGGCTCGTGGGTGGCCCCTGTCTTAGGGTCGCGGCACATTTTGGCCCTGGGCGCGCAGTGCATGTGCGGCCCCGTGGGCGCGCGGCCCGTGCATGGCCCCGCCCCTGGGCGCCCGAAAGGATTTACATGATAATATTTCACCTGTCCTGTTTATGTAACACTTTAAAAATCAGCAAAAGGGTTATATAAATAAAATTTATTATGAAACAAAAGGCAAAAAACTATTATGTACATAGTTTAGTCCTATTCAGTGTCTACTCGGCGCTTCTTGGCTTGTCTCTTGTATTCATTAAATGGAGCATCTCTTGTCACTGTCCAGCAATAGTCTGCAAGCATTGATGGGCTCCATTTGCCCTGATAGCGTTTCTCCATTGTTGCAATGTCCTGGTGAAATCACTTGCCGTGCTCGTTGCTCACTGCTCTGCAGTTCGGTGGAAAAAAATCTAGATGAGTGCAAAAAATGTATCTTTAGTGACATGTTGCAACCAAGGCTTTTGTATGCCTTAAGGAGGTTTTCCACCAACAACCTGTAGTTGTCTGCCTTGTT